AAAATTGTTTTATACTGTAAGCTGGAGGCGAGTGTAACTTATTTTTGTAATAAAGTTTTTATTTTTTTTATGTGTCATTAATATAAATGTGTGTTAGTACAGAGATCTTCTGGTTAAAAACTTAGAATCGCACACATTTCAGTATGTTTACTTGTATTTACATAGTTTTTAGAATAGTGGTTGCCAATAGCCTGTATGTTTCACATTAATTGATTTTATTTTTTTTTTGTTATCTTAATAAACCATTTTAGTATGTTGTATGTCAATTACTGGGATAGCTGGGACATGAAGTGTAATTTAAAATTGTCAAGTATTCATTGGAATATGTAAATGTGCCTTGCCAGTTTTGAACTTTAAGACAAAGTAAGCAACTGATGGTGAAATGAGTAGTCAATGCGTAAGAGACATTTGCTACCACAGTTTCATATACTGCCCTTGCTAAAGAAAAGTAACTTTTTTTCTCAAATTTGAGCATTGAAATATACAGTTGCATTAGCTTCTGAATTTTTGAATCTAGTGATAGAACATTAGGCTTACGGAAAGTGGGTTTGCTAATTGTAGCCTTAAGTATAATCTTGAACTTCAATGTAATCCTTGGTGCTGGCGTTCCCAGTGCCAAGGAGTTTAAATGCTCCCTTTAAAGAGGTTGCCATGCCTACTGGCACTTTTACTGTCATATGGTTTTATAAGGAACACTGTCAAGATGTGGAAACTGATTTTGGACTTGCTATAAAATGAAAGCACTGGGGGCTGTAGGAGAGGGGAAGTCCTCAGATTTGTTAATCTTGAAATCTCTCCATTGCTGAAAAACTTAAAATACTTGTGGGATCACAAGTGCTAATGACTAGTTCTTAGTCTGAAAATGTGTTGTGGGGAGAAGGGGGATAATATATTTATGGAATTATAACAGTTGATGGAATTGCATAAAAACATTGCTTTAAGGCACCACATGTGTTGAAATTGTGGATCACATCCTTAATTTCAGCTCTAAAAAGCTTGCTAAAAAAGAAAAAAAAAAGGTAAAATTGACAGGAAAGTGTTTTTAATGGAATGCAAGCAATGGTGAGTGAGCAAAATACCAAGATCTTGACAGTGTTCCCTCTAATTATGAACTCAAGCCATTATAACTTTTAAAATTAAATATGATTTGCACTGTTCTGATATTGGTGCAGTTTTTTAGCAAAATGATCAGAAAACTAAATTGCATGTGGTGATTAGTGTGGAAAAAACCCTAAAAACAACAAAAAAAATGTTATTTTCAAAGCTTTAAATTTGATTGTGTAAAGAAAAAACTTTCATTACTAAGTGGAAATACTGGTGAGAATGGGCAAGTGCATATATACAGCATCAGTTTGGTTGCACTTGGGTGTTGGTAAACTTGAAATGTTCTACAGCAATAATGCATCTCTTATGGGGTGCTTTGACAAATGAACATCAAATACACAGTTCTTTTTGGCGTGTTGAAGGCAAGTGTTGACTTAATGTGTTATGCTGCCTCTGTTTATTTTCATAGGAGGCTTTCTTTACCGAAACACCTGCAAAGGTTTTAGTTTAAGCTAGCATAGCTCCACATTGGTTTGTAATTTGTTCCTAAATTTGAAGTCTAGTTGAATTTAATAAGATATCAGTAATTGCTGCTGCTTAACACTTCTTGTTTATAAACACTCCAATACACAGCTTTTAAAATTATGCTCGTTTTAATACTCATTTTTGCTTGAAGGGTTTCATGTAGGACATACAACTGTATAATTTTTTTATTATTTTTACTTTTTAAAGAGGAGATTTGTTATAATCTGGAACTCAAGTTTGTTTTTACTCTTGGAGGAAGGCTGTTATTACAGATACTAAGACCAGTTTCTGAATTTGTGTTGTACAACTCTTACCTAAATACTGTCTTGAATCTAAAATAAGGAATAATAATTCCCTTCCTGCGGGTAAAGGGTATGACATAATGTAAAATAGAGTTAGACTTTTCTGAAGGTAGGATTCCCAACTTAATATTTCAGGGTAGAAATGTTACCTATGGCTGCAACTTTTTCCCTTGTGCCATTGATAATTCTTCACTTAACTTTTCTGTTCAGCCTAGCAGTTATTTCAGTGCTTCCATACACCAGTTGAGGGGAGACTTTTTATTATAAGAAATAAAACTGAATGGCAGCATGGACATAATCACATACAACATTTCCAGGAAAACAGTGTGTTCAAATCAATATATTCTACAAAATTAAGACTCTTATTCCCTCACTTCTTTTAGTGAAAACCTGGTGGAAAATGTTCATTGTTTAAAATGGAACAGCAATGTTTTGAAGAAGGTAATGAGGCACTAATCTTTACAATGTAGAGTTCTGAGAATTCAAATTGGTAAAGTTGAAGCTTGAATTTGTGTTCACAGCCTAAAGTTTATGAGCTCCAATTTAAAGACTGGCTGTGAGGGACATGAAAGTCTGTCTTTGGCGAGTGTCTTACTGAATTAACTCCAGCACCAGCACATGACATCTCTTGGCTAGGGGTAGCTAGTTGCATTAGCTGGGCAGAGGAGACAGCAGATTGTACTTTGTCATTTGGTCTGTCAGATAAAAATGGTATGTGGCAGCAGGAGAGGAAGTCGAGCTGAAGATTCCTTGATCCTTAATAGCGGTAGTAGGGGGAGAAGGAATAAATCATTGTTACTTTACAGGCGTCTAGTGCAAACAGACATAAAGCTTCCTAGAAGCTCTGATGTTAAACTTTTTCTGGGGTACTGATAGTGACATAGTCATCTGGTCAATGATTTGCAAGTGTTTAATTACACTTACTTGTGTTCTGAAGTCCTCAGGATGAAAGAGTGACTTTTCTTTGGCGCTCCTTTGCTTTGACTGTTAATGTAGATAGTCCTAGTGGCGCTTTCCAAAAAAACCTTATCTTGTTAGTTTACTTGGAATTCTGACAGAGGAGCAGTTGTCTCCTATCATTTTTTTTCTTGCCAGTATATAACTGGTTACTAGTTTTTTTTCTACAAAAGAGACATGTTTGTAAATGGCCAGCTCTTGAGTAGACGTTACACACACAGGTCAGCTGGAAACATTGAGTGACACTGATTAATTAAATCTGTCTTCATGAGAGTTGCTTTAGATGGTCAGACTTCCAGGTACTTGGTAAAAGCTTTTGGTTATGTGGTTTCTTGTTTGTGGGGTGGTTTTTTTTTTTGGGGGGGAGCGGTGGGTTGTTTGTTGGGTTTTGCTTTTTTTGTTTGGTTGGTTTTTTTAATAAGGGAAGGAAAAAAGCATCTGTACAGTCTAGAAGACAGTCATGGTGTGATGGTATGTAGGTAATACGTAATTAAATATGGCTTGAATTTTTAAAGTTTAAATCAAAGATTTCAGTTCCAAGAGTTTTGTTCCTGGACCTAAGTATCTACTCCAAAGTCAACACTCATTTTTTGACAGTCATTCAGGTAAAACTTGCAGTGTCAGAAATCTGGATTCCCTCTAGTCTTAGAAGGATGTGTTTGGGTCCTTAATGGTGACAGCTCACCATCCCTGCACAGTTAGTGTGACAAGTTTTACTTGTTTTGCTCACTAACATGTAGAAAAGATACTTGAATCTTAACGCTTATTTTCTTTGCACTAAGGAAGTTATGAAATTCATTCTTAGTTCTGCCACACAGCCAGTAGAATAACCTATGCCATTTGACTGCACACAAGATAATGGTAAGTAAAAATAGACATTTTAGTACTTAAATGACTTTTGGTACCTAAAATCCAACTTCAGTAGACTGCTTAATTAATTCCTTATCTGCAGTTACTAGGGAGGTTGTGGGTTGTAACTCTTCAATTTTAATGTGTCCACTTCAGTGCTAAGTGAATGGTGGGTGTAATCTGTTGAGTGTAATCAAATACTGTTAAATATGTTAGATCTAAAAGTCTCAAAAATGCTTCATAGATAATTAATTTTTAAATACTTTTAAACTTGTGGGTTAGCAATCATAGTAGCTTAAGGGATTTTCCATTAATACAGTCAGTCATTGAAAGCCAGGCAGTAAATATATCAGGTCCTGAGTTCCTGGTTCCAAGTATAGCATTTCAGTATTTTTCTGCCATCTAACATTTTCAGCTGGGATTTTTTTTTTTCCTCTTTCGTAGGATGAAGAATGCACCTAATTGTGTTCCTAGTAGTGGTTATTAAAGAACTGTATTACTACATGTAGCTAATTTGGGATTAAAAAGCTTCCTCTGTGAGAATTTAACACAGGCAATTTTATAGACGCCCCATTTAGTAAATGAGGGTATTTCTTAAGGTGCAATTTAGCATACTTAAGAATGAAACTCCTGTATTACAAAACACTGGTGAGAGCTAGCCTAAAATAAATAATAATCTGTTTCATAATGCAAATGTATTACAATTGAAGGTGATTTTATCTTTAATATTACAGCACTTGAGATGGCAGATAAAAATGCCTAGTCCCTGCATCTGGAAAACCTGAAGTGGCTATTGAAGGCCTGTTACTGCTTACCAATTTCAGATTGTGGTCAGAGACTTCCTTTGGATAGTGCAATTTTTTAATTTCAGTACAAACAGTTGTTCTAACAAGATAACCTGTTTCCAATCCACAGTTTTCCACACTTTCTGAGTTTTGTATGTGTGCTTAATATATATATATATGTATATATTTATTAGCAGAAGACAAACCTCCAGTGACAATCACTGGTG